ATTTCTCAATGTTTTTCGATGTAAATTGAACCAGTTTTACTTAATCTTTATCTGCAGCATCTTATGCGATTAGAACGACAAACATTTTTCTGTTAAGTAACTTTTTTTTTTTTTTAAATAATTGTTTTAGTGCTGGTATAACTGCGCACAATTATAAAATTAGCACCAGTCGCTGCGCCCCCAATTACTGCGCGGGTATCTCCCATAAGGTTTTCATGCTGAAGCCCTAGACCCAATTGCTGCGCACCAATCACTACGCACGACTACAAAGTTTTGTAGGTTAGATTCGTTTAGAGTCACTCAGTTAAACAATTATAAATGTCATGATGTAAAGTATGATTCTGGATTGAACGTTATTAATGTCCGTACGTGTTACAATATCCAAGCACCCAAATTTTTCAGTCTGTTTTTCTTATTTTTAGTTACCGTCGAGTGCGCAGTAATTGGTGCCTGCGCAGTAATTGGGTCATTTACCTCTATATATAAAGGGGGGAAGATGAGAAAGGGAAACCGGAATCCCATGCAGCGAATTATATGCGCGGCCGTTGACCGGCGATAAGTCTGTTACTCTCGTCTGGTATATACATATGTATTCACATAAAGCAGTACCTATCTCATCTGTCCACGCTAAATGTGACATTATAACTTTCCGCATTGTTGTGCAAGGCTACCGTGTACACGAGCGCGTGCCAAAGAAAAAAGAAAGCGAGATCACTGATATCATCTTAGTATGAAAAAAAGTATATTCATGGGCGTTTGCTCGTGTGTTTTTACGATTTGCGCACTCGCGAGATCCCTCGCAAATGGAAAACAATGACCGAGCAGGTTCTGTTTTGAGAAACCGATTTTTACCATGTATTTTCTTCCCGTAGTGGTCGTAACATAACGTTATTTGTAGATTTCACTGTTACGTGGGCATATTAAACTTTATATCGTCTAACAATGAGATATGACGTGCCTTTCGGATGCTCTACAATAACGGTATATACTTACCAGGTAAAAAGACACGTAAACGCTTACACAACAGATTCGGTCGTCTCGCGAAATCGGCTCAAAAAAGAAATGCGAAATTTGAGTTCAACGATCTGATCTCGAGATCGGTACCGTAGATATGAAAAAGCAAACGATCCATCGACTTGGCGAGTACACTCCCAGACAAACTGTCCCAAGTCACACGATAAACGTGCCTGCATGCAATTAGAGGGCATCGATATTCCCGCGGAAATATTTCATAAATCAAGCGAGTGTAGCGACCTATTGCTCAATGTAACAATTCCCGAATCGTCGAGACAGCTTGTGTGCCTCGGCGTGGCTCTTTCACACAAATGTTACCGTTCCGTTGCGTCACCCCCCCCCTTTATCCCCCTCAACAACGAGATAAGATATAGAAGGGAGAGAGGGCAGTTGTCGAGTCGCGACTTTCCGCAGAAACCAGAAGTCGTGACAATCGGCTTTTTACATCTCGGAAATAACGAGTCCTAAAAGTCACCCACGACACCATAACCTCTCCGCCCCACCCCATGGCCTCTCCCCATTCCAACTCGCTGCGACCGTAAGTACCTACATTTAAGTTTACACGGAGTTTCCCGTTTTTCGAGCCGCCAAATGGCCTCGTTCTCGTGGACCCTCCAAAGTGCAGTAGACTTTTTTTAAAGGGGAACACACCTCACGCTCGGAAACACGAAGTTTGAAAGACCCTCAATTCAGCGCTAAAGGGAGGTTGGAACGGTACAGTTTATCTTTAAAGTTGATTTTAATCATAGATTTTTTTATTAATTTGTCTTACATTGAGAACCATTTTTGATAATATAGTCAGTACTAAAAATTAGAGGAAGAAAATGAAAACTTGACGATTTTATTAAAATTGAAGCCAAACTAGATTGGGTATCACAAAAGATACTTTAGTTTTGTACATAACTTACTTTTAGTTTATAATGTACTTGAGTTTTTTAAATTATCATTTATGAAGTTTTAAAAAAAGTGATGACAAATGTGAGCATACTAGAATGACTACACAAATTTCTCAGCAAATTTACTTAAAAATTTTTTCATAAATTTCTTAAACTTTCTTCATTTGTACATGGTACTTCAAGTGTCTTATAGTTTCCCGTAGATTTTTCAACGCTGAAACCGAATCCGTCCACGGAATTGCTCTAACTGCAGGGTAGGATTTTGAGATATTCCTACCTAAAAGTGCAAAAAACACGATTTTGGCTTATATTTGAGGTTATGTAGTATTGTTACACATTTTTTCCGGAAACTATGTAGAGCACTTGAAAGTGTAAGTCTTGATTTTGAAAATGCCGTTGAAATTGCTGAAATATCTTTTTTTTCACCGAAATGTGTTATATTAAACTTTTATAATGCAGTTGACCCATTATGCCCTTGTTGATATAGTCATTGTGAAATTCATGCATTGTATAATAGTCTAAAGCAACACTTTTCGGTGGAAAAAAAATGTTTGAGCAAACACACTTTCAAGCGCTCAACGTAGTTTTTCTAGAAAAAAATATGTCATGATGCTACATAACCTAAAGTATAGGGAAAAACCGTGTTTTTTGTACTTTTAGGTTATATCTCAAAATCCTGACGTGTTAGGTCAATTCTGAGGTCAGATTCGGTTTCAACATTAAAAAATCTACAGGAAACCATGTACCATTTGAAAGTGCAAAAAAAACATTTTTGTAACACTGTTTTATCGGTCCAGTATTGGATCGATGCAAAATTTTAATGGTAAATTCAAGCTTTTATGCAGGGTATTTATTATTATTATATATATATAATCATGTGAAGTTGCAGATTTCCCTTACAGTGCTGGTAATCTAAAAAAATTTCCATCGTAAAAACTATATTCAAAAATTTCATAAAGGCATGAGTTCTGTTAATTGCTTCACTGCATCCAATGAAGGCAACATTCTTCAAAATATTCCATTTCCTAAACGAGAGATTCCGTCGAATAATCTTTAACTAAGGACAAAAAATTAGTACAGTCGAATATATATACGAAAGTTTTGATTTTACTTATTCTAAAAATTCAATGTATCCACATCACACACACACACATTTTCACAATACCGAAGTACGAAGCTCTTAATTGCCTAATCGATCGGACATTTACACACACACACAAAACATTCTTAGCTTATAGGTACAAAAGCTCGGATTACCTCACATCGACCCATTGCGTGACCGCTCTATTTCTAAAATACAAAATACCAGCACTCGCGCTCATAACACTTGAATCATGCGCGCATCGCCCTCGATTCTCGATACGGAAACAACAACAAAATTATTCGTGCATATGGTATGGTTCTACTGTTCGAGAAATGGAGTAATCGATGGGATAATAATCGAGGCGTATACCGAACATGTCGATAAATAATATCACCGTCTCTTCGGACACGCCGGGCACGCTTCCGCGTGCGGACTGCGGTTCTTTGTGCGGCGTATGGACTTTTATTGTGGCGTGCTGCATAAGCGTGACAGACGGCTAACTTGGATATCCGTCGCGTGTGTACACGGCATTTAAAACGCGGCATGTAAAGTATATAGGTACCAATGATGATTTCTGTTTAGGTGGTTGGTGCTCAACGTAACCTCTTTTTATTCACGGATTTTATGGTTAGTGGGTTATAAATTAGACGAGTTGCTGATTACTTGGTGAGAAAAAAAAAAGTTTTGGGTAGGAAATAATTTTTTTCAAAGTCAATAATTAAAAGTAACGTGAATGAAGATACAGTTAAAACGTTGACGCTAAAAAGATGACTTGCATTGGCTATTGGAACTGAGTTAACTAGTTACTGGCTTTGAGCTCAATTCTGTAACAGCGCCCCCACTGAGCAACTTGGGAACGATTGGTTTTTAATAGAAAGGGCAGTACACTTTGTATTACAATGTATCAAAAGGGCTTTGTATACACGTATAGGTTTGTTTGGGTGTGTTTAAATATACTACGTGTTTACATGCATATATGATACATAGTACTGTCCTTTTCTATTCAATACCAATCGTTCTCAAGTTACTCAGTGGGGGCGCTGTTTCAGGATTGCGCTCGAGGCCAATACATCTGCGTTAATTGGGACACAACCAAGGTTATGAAGACATGTTGCTATAGTTTTTTTACATAAAAATATGGTTCAATTTACTATTTAATTAATTTATTTTTCATTATTTCGTATCTTATTTAGAATCATTTTTTATAGGGTATGGCAGAGTAATTTCTCTGATGGATTATTTTTCCAATTTCATTGATTTCGAAATGGTATATTACGCACCTAGTGATCGAGGTTAAGAATGTCTTAGATTTTACGTGAATAACTCTGAAGTTCTTTCAACCGATTATGATAACCCTTGGTCAATTTTCGTTTTTGGATATTTTGAATGTTTTTGGATTTGAAGTTTAGTTTTTTTTCTGTTCCTATAGACACCTATCGCTGTTACAAAAACGAAATTTTTATTCAATGGACTAATTTTTTTTTTATATATATATTTCCATCTTGATTGCAAGCGTGTATGGTCTTTTTTTTGTTCAANAAAATCGATGTTTTGGTGTTACAATTCTCAGAGTATTATGAAATTTTTTATAAAACATGTATATTTTTACGAAATTAAAAACAATGAGTTATGTGGGTAGATAATATTATAGACTTGTTGTTGGAAATAAAAAATTTTGATTTGATGAAACAATATCTAAAATAGATTAAGTCTATTAGGGATCTGCGTTTCAATCAAATATAATACATTTGTGTGGTTTGGAAGGCGTTTTTACCAAATGCGCTTACGTTAAACCCTGATGTCTTTTTTAAAAATTTCTCGAACTCAAGTTATTTTCAATTTTAGCACATTTCACCTTGGCAGTATCATTATTATTATCGACAAAAATTGTAATTTCAACCTACTTTTTCGTCAACATCGAAAATAAGAACGAGCAGAAACAAAATGTACACGCGTAAGAACAAAACGAATGGAAAAATGAAGAGAAAAAAAGGTTCGAGACTCACCTCGCACCTGGAAGTGTCCAGTATCTCGACCTCGGTGGTAACGTTGTCGATGGTTACGCTGTGCCGGTAGAGGAAATCTGCAACATACAACACACAGAGGGGCTAAATCCAGCGCATGGCAGCCGTTGGCTCAGATGGATCAGTTTTAATCCTCCCACCATGTCATATATATGTATACGTGTATATATTATATGTACAATGTATCATGTACCACCACTACGATGCACCCGAAGAGATAAGAGACACCGTCGCTGCCGACGCCTGCGGATCTCGCTCTCCTCGACGTATTGTACCATGTATATTACGTGGGCATGGTGTACATACATTTCTCATCCACGCGCGCGGATCGACCGTACAGGCGCCGCCGAAGCTTCACGAAGATGATCGCCATTATGAAAAGGGAAGTCGAGAGCGCGATAGGGTAAATGCCGTGTCACGTCTCGACGGATTCACGGTGTCGTTTTTTTTTGTCCCTACTTTTGCTGGGGGTTGCTCGAGATCGCGTGTCCGGATATTGTTGCTTCTCTCGGCTGATGTGCACGCTCGAGGCTGCTCGGAAAGTTGGATTTGTTTTTGAATTTTCACGCTGCGGGAAAAGATTTTTTTTTTTACGGAGGAAAAGTCGATCGGTGTCGGGAAAGGTATAAGGACAACCGCGAGAGAGTAACCAAACTCATCTAGTAACATTTAATGATACCAACAAGACATTCCATGATTTAACACGATGATTACATTGGTTTCTTTAATAAACTGATGGTTTTATAAGTTGGTATCACTGTAAGTCACTAAAATTATCGGTGAATCCAAAATTAAAAAAAAATTCTAGTGATCCCAAAACACACGACTATTCGTTGCACCTCGTTTTAGATAATCTAATTTTGAGAAGTTTTTCGCGTAGGCCAACTCTGATCGGACATAATGAGAGTGTCGATAATTTTAGGGCAAAAATCCTCGTACGTCCCGAGTGTCGAAAACCAAACGAACATAACCTCAATTCGGGGCGCTACTAAAACGAAAAACTAGGCTGAAGATCTATTATTCCACCTACCCTCTCATAAACACGTCGAAAGTTGCGTGTAACTTCGTTGCGTCACACCTTTCAACCGCCGCAATTCCGAACGAGCGAGTCCCTCTTGTACCCGGTTACTTATTATACACATATACGCGTACGAGAAATCTGATGGTAATGTACACTTGAACCGAGCGCGCGAGAAAACACACCGTATCAATCGCGCATGCATTCTTACATCAACTTTTACGGCCGACGTGTTTTCATGAGAAACAAAAATGATCTCCCTCTCTCCGAGCGCGCTTGAGAGCAGCAATAGTTTTGATAAGCACGCGACTTCGAGAGAATTTTCTCGCAACCTGCTGCCGCTGCGAAAAACGTCAAAAGTCCTACTTATTGCGCGAAAAGGTTGAAGGAAGTCCGGCGAGGAGAGAAGCTTGCGTAACGCAAAACACGGTAAGCGCGGGAAGAGAAGTGATCATCTTTAGCCTCCGCGGAGCGTTATTTGGTAAACAACCGCTGCTTGTTTTGAGAAGAAACATTTGCGGAACGCCGCTGACGAGGAAATAACGCGAAGTGACGAGTGCACTCATTGCACGTGTACCCAGTGGCGGATGAGAAAAAGAAACAAAAAAAAAAAAGAAATGGATTTCATCGCGCGTCCTGGTGATAAGCCAGGATAAAAATATTGCGCGAGATAGGGCTTTTGGTCGTATTGAGATTGCGATCCGTGGAAGTTGGTACGCCTGCTTCGTGTGTTTTTTTTTTTTTTTCTCTTCTTATTCCTTATTCTCTCGCTCGATCATGTTTTTTTGCATTCTTTGCTCGATCTGTTTTTGTTTTCTTTTCCTCCCTTTTTTGCGCGTTCCGTCCGCGCTTCTTTGTGCGGCTGAAAAGTAAGCACGTGATTCGATCGACGATTGAAAGAAAATTTGTTGAAAAATATCCTTTGGTATGTGATATTCTGTGAGTAAGTACTGGGGGATCATGCGATAATGCCTTTCCATTTGGAACCTGATTGGCTTGTCATTTATGATATTTTCAGAAAGCACTACATGAAAATTATCTTTAACCACATTCAAATGGTGGTACTAGAAAAAATGATACTCTTCCCAGATTACTAAGTAAATGATATTGGAGTTATTTGAGGTTATGTATGTGCCCAATATATGTACAAGCTTTTACAGTCGGAAAAATGTTAAAGACAATCAAAGTAGAAGTAATTACTCCTTCAACTTGAATTAAGCATTTTAAAAAATCTATGCAATCGTAACTATGCCAGAAGCAATAATTGTCCGACTGAACAATGTGTTGTAATGTATTTCCTAAACTCACCGTCAGATTGAGCCCAATAACCTCATTACTCATCTCATCGATCAACAACAAAGTTTTATACTTTTACGCACACTCCGATCATTTGCATGACGAAAAATAAGCTTAAAAGGACAAGCTGAATGGAAATCATAGAAAGCAACTCTTCTTACGCGCGCTCGAGCGCAACAACTCGCGCAGCTTCTACATATGCGTCCGGCAATTACGCCAACGACGCGGGACACTCAATCGATCGCGATTAGCCGATTTTTCCGGCGTCGGTATCTCCGACTCGCGATACACACCGATATTCGCGGGGAAATCGCGGAAATCGCGCGGATTAATCGGCCCGATCGCGCCTGAGAAATAAAAGAAAGCGATAGACGTAAGCGCGCCGAGAGCCCGGGACAACGCGGTCCGTCGTGTTCTTGACTTCCTGAGTATAGCGTTTCCATCTCTGGAGTCTTACAGTATGTATATATATAACATATACTCGGGTGAGAGTGATCATTTACATTTTTGTTTTCATTTCGAATTCTCTCGAAAATCGTGCGCGATCGAAATACGGTGACGATGACGTTGATACGAGCACACGCGTGCGAGTTTAAGACGACTACCGTCTTGTGCCCGAGCATGGCAATTAACTGCTGTAACGACCGGCTTTCTGAGCCGAAAGACTACACGTTTTTACTCCATAAAATAGTCCATTTGGACTTTCCTCAACGAAATCGGAATCACTTGAAATCATTGGAATCATTTATAAAGTCACCTCGAATCAGATCTATAAAATGTTTTAAATGTATCAGCAACAATAATTATCTACCGTGATTGAAAAATCGTGTGTTATTTTAAAGGGCTCGATAATAGTTTTTCTTTTCTGCTCAAGTTTGTGGCCCTTAGTGTCGCCCTATTAGATATATGTCATTATAAATAGTTTAGATTACAGTGAATCTAAAGATATCCTTTAGTAGACAGAATCTTAAGAAACCGTACTTAAAGCTCGCTTTTTCAACGAAGGCGCTTATGGCAGGTAAACTAAGACTAATGATTTGCAACTCGGATCGAAAGTGTCTGACATTATATCAGCACACACGTGTTGTAGGTTATAACTTCATTTTTCAAATGCCGTCGTTGAAAATATAGATGACCGGCAAAAATTTTGAGATATTCTATTTATAATTGATCGAGTTGTCGTATTTCCGTAGGTAAACCTATGTTTCTCTTGTGTCAGTGGTGCCAACTATCAAAGGTTTTTGAGAAAGTTAAGGCTCCAAGTCTGGGTTGGTATCCTTACTCGCTGGAATCTCCTTAAAACAATCATACGAACTTTTAATCATATTATTTCTGTCGTTCAAGTTCATGTTACCCTTTTCTAAAACAGTACCCATGTATTAAAATCGTTAAAAGAGCATAAATGATTTTAAAATAAAATAAATACACCAACCTACTGGGACAGTTTTTAACAAGTGAGCCGATGAAATCATCATAAAATCATTTTCAATTCTTTGACATTTGAAATCATTTTCCCATGAGGGTATCAAGTAATGGGAGCACCCTATGGCAAAACTTGAGATTTCGAAAAAAAGCGCAAGCAGTCAACGATTAATTTATACATTCGGAATCACCCATCCACGATAAAGCAGTTAATAAAACGATTCACAAAGTAATCTTTTGTTTACGTTTTTTTTTTTTTTTTTCATCTGGAAAGACAAAAATACAAAGTTTCTTTCGCAATTGGAGCTCCTCGCATCCAATAATAGATTTTTACGCACACACGTGTACGAGCATGGAGCGGAAAAAAATAATATGGCCCGAGAGACGAATGGAAAACACCGGTTTTTACGGCGCCGTTTCCATACACGCTTATGGAAAGAGCTAGAGGGAGTCCAATCGTGGAAATAAGAAAAAAGAACGATGCGCCACGTATCCCCGCAAAATCAGTGGTACGCCGATCTTCTTTCGTTCGAGAGCCCAGTCGCACGGAGATCGGTAAACACACCGGCGCGCTTGTAAAGCTCCGAAGAAGAAAAAAAATACTCGCTCACAGACACATCGATCGGTGCGTTCACCCCCGCGATGGGCACGAGAACGGGGAAACAGAAAAAAAAGAAAAAGGTCCATTTACATTTACTCGGCTACGGTCGACGACTTCGAGCGTGTTAGGGAGAATCGTTAGCGCGGGGCCGATTTTATTGCGCCAGTTTTAATAGCTCGCGCACGCGGGAGGAGCCTTGTTTCGCTTGCCACCCGTAAATTCGAACTGCCGATCATTACCGTGCTTTCCGAAATCTCGAGCTATTCCACGTCCGATCGTCGTCCTCGCGTACCGATTTTTCCGCTCTTGAGGCTCGTTTCGCGATCCCCGGGGGTTGTTTTCCGGATTGTAGCTGCGATTTTACCGATCTTCCGAGACCATACCAAGCGCACTAAGAATTTTTCCACAAAATCGGTACTTGGAAAAAAACCCCAGGGGTCTTTTCCCTCCGAGTATCCAAACCGTCCACACCAGTGTATGTACGTGCATGCGGATTGCAGTGCATGCTCGGGCATTGATGAAAGCCGATCATACTTTTCCGCCTCGCGTGTGTTTAAATCATAATATATATATATATATATATATATGTATTGTATATATATGTGTATATTCATGTATTATGAAAGCAACGGCAGCATTTGTGTATACGTAAGCCACTGCCATATAATTGTACGTACACATTATTCTGCTAATCCACAAGGAGGGAGTATACGAGAAAATAG